ATTTTTTTTTTTTAGTTGTAACAATTAGAAAACTGTCACAAATTGCCAATGGGCGAAGGAAAGAAAATAAACACACAATGAGTGCCATTCATTAGTCAATTAGCTGTACAGTCAAATCTGAACAGACTTGTGTGACCGTTTGAGTGGGTCTGTGTTATCATGAGACCAGGGCGCGATATCGCATGGAAATGAGTCAATCAATAATTATTATTGTGATGATGTTGTCGATGTCGCGGTTGATGTTGATTCTGATGATAAAGATTATGATTGTAAAACGCAATGCAGGTGTTAGAAGCAATGAGTTGAAAGCTAAGGCAGCGACCAAAACAAATTATATAAATGAATGAAAAGGAAGGAGAAAGAGATTGACTGAGAGAGAGAGAGAGAGAGAGAGAGAGAGAGAGAGAGAGAGAGAGAGAGAAAGTTCTATCATAGTTGAATGAAACATAATTCAATTGAATGAATTGAGGAAGAGAAATATAAAGATTAAAAACATCTTTATATTGCTTTTCCGGACTAAAACCGTTTGTCCGTACAAAATGAAAAAAAAAATTAAAAAAATAAAAAGTATTACTGAAATAAAATAATATATTAAAGCTTTGCCGGCATTAATTTGAATAATGATTTATGCATATCGACAAATTGTTAATGAGACAATTTTAATATTTTTGCATTTGCTCAGGCAATCGTGAATTTGTCAATTAAGTAGCTCTTAAGCTGTGCGCACTGTAAATGGGTTAATTTGTCTTAGTGCATAAGTCACAATTGCTTCATGCCTCATTGTGTGGATGTTAAGTCGCCTTAAGCCAGCCAACTTAACGAATGGGGCGCCCAAATATTGTAAAGGGGCGCTGTCCCATTATTCATAGCCCCAGCGAGATTTTCGTTATTGTGACATAAATCGATTGGGCGCTAGAGCTGCCAATGTCGCGAAATTTTCTTGTTTGACTATGCATTAAAAATAATTAATATTGAATATATGTGGAATTTTAAGCTAAAATTCAATTAGCATTTTAAGTCGCAGTGCTAAAAATATAGAATTATCAAGAGGTTTATAGCATGCACGTATTTCTATTTATTGTCAATGGCGATAAAGTCTACCAACTAAATAGATTACCCTGGCCAAAAATAACAAGTAAAATTATATGAATATGTACCTATATATATATACATATATCATATATATTTACTTGCCCTGAACTCTTTAAGACCCTCTCGATATTTGTTGAAGGCTGTCGTCATGCTGCTCAGTCTCGCTCCACTCGTTTCATTGCTCTTTACACTTTACCATTTGTATACCTGTCCATGCATCTTATCAATATTTACATACAACTATGGGCACACGTGTTTGTACCTCTATGTCTGTGTGCGTGTGTCTGGCTGTGTGCGTGTGCGCCATACAATTTACGCTATAAATTTATGGTAAATTCTCAAGGCAAATGCAAGTCATAGATACAGTAGCCAACAGCTAAGGTGCGCCAATTATCATTAGTAATTGGTAATTGGCTTGGCTTCGTTTTAAAGACCATATTATAACTATAATCAAAATGGGCTCAATTCCGAAATTGCTGTAGCTTTCAAATATTTCAAATATAACAATTTGAAACGAGGCAGTTTTACATAAGTGAATAATCATTGGCTGTTAATGCAATTTCGTTACATTATTGAAAACTCACTTAAGTAAATACGTTAAAATTATTTTATTTTTTCTATAAATATATGTCCATATAGTTCATTACTATTCAATATTAATTACTCATTACTGATTGCTCATTACTCATTACTCATTACTCATTACTGATTGCGTATTGCTCATTACTCATTACTCATTACTCATTACTCATTACTCATTACTCATTACTCATTACTCATTACTCATTACTCATTACTCATTACTCATTACTCATTACTCATTACTCATTACTCATTACTCATTACTCATTACTCATTACTCATTACTCATTACTCATTACTCATTACNTTACACTTTACCATTTGTATACCTGTCCATGCATCTTATCAATATTTACATACAACTATGGGCACACGTGTTTGTACCTCTATGTCTGTGTGCGTGTGTCTGGCTGTGTGCGTGTGCGCCATACAATTTACGCTATAAATTTATGGTAAATTCTCAAGGCAAATGCAAGTCATAGATACAGTAGCCAACAGCTAAGGTGCGCCAATTATCATTAGTAATTGGTAATTGGCTTGGCTTCGTTTTAAAGACCATATTATAACTATAATCAAAATGGGCTCAATTCCGAAATTGCTGTAGCTTTCAAATATTTCAAATATAACAATTTGAAACGAGGCAGTTTTACATAAGTGAATAATCATTGGCTGTTAATGCAATTTCGTTACATTATTGAAAACTCACTTAAGTAAATACGTTAAAATTATTTTATTTTTTCTATAAATATATGTCCATATAGTTCATTACTATTCAATATTAATTACTCATTACTGATTGCTCATTACTCATTACTCATTACTCATTACTGATTGCGTATTGCTCATTACTCATTACTCATTACTCATTACTCATTACTCATTACTCATTACTCATTACTCATTACTCATTACTCATTACTCCTTCCTCATTAATCACTACCCAATACTCTTTATTTCTTACGATGCTGCAACAGTATTCTTGAAATAATTTAAAAATTAAATCTTAAGTACTTGAGCTTACCCTAGGGCAGGTGTTCATATTAACAGAAGTCTGCCTGATAACGATTATTAGATAGTTTTTATATAATTGTTGATTACGCCTTATCACCTTTACTAAACAGATTTTGATTTGGTGTTGTAGTGACTTTAAATTGTCAAAAAAATATGTAATACTTTAAGAAAAAAATGTTGTACCCTTTCCTAATCGGATTTCATTTGCGTATCAATAAACCTTTCAATAAAATTTTTCAGGTAAACTTGGGTTATCTTGAGATAATTTGCGTTAGAATTATTTTATGGTAATGTGAATTTGGCAAGCTAAGGCAATTCAGCCTAATTCTATCAAGCATAATGTTATTAACATACTGTAAAGTTTGTTGACATTCAGACCTTCCATCAACTGTGTTTATGGAACGTCCCCTTATTTTTCCTTTATAAAACGCTTTCATTCATAAACAGAATTCTATTGCAAGAGCTGAATCATGCTTCGTAAAAGTTCGACTACATTTTGTTAGCTTAACTTCATTAATATAATTTCTTTAAATATTTCCACTGCTTAAACTGTAAACTCTATCAACAGTTCGTTCCCATTTCGCTTGGCCCGAAAAAAAAAAATATATATAATAATACTCTTATAGTTGGAGCTAAACTAGTTAAATAGAGAAAGAGAATCTAAAATAGAAATGGACCGAGTCATGTTCAGCAAAAGGTAAAAAGAGGGCTATCTGTAGAGCTCTTCCTTCCTGCTAAAGTGCTGCCCGTTCGCAGTTCGAATCGTGGAACATGACTTGGGGCACCGAGTTTTACGCTTATTTAAATGGTATTAACAATTATGCGCGTTAATGTCGATACAAGAATGGAAATTTGTTGCCATCTGGGCTGGGGCGAGGCGTATTTATTGTGTGATTATTATTTATTTTTATATGATTACACTCTCCACCCCTTGCTGTCTCTTTCTCTCTCTCTTTCGGCTACTGTTTGACGGGTTTTTGTTCGTGTTTTGTAGCTTAAATGGTCAAAAACATCAGGTAGATGACTTGTAATTATAATGCCGGTCGCTCTATGTGCCGTGTCGCGGCGTCGAGTCGAGCCATTTAATGCCACGACCATTGTATGTAGTTGCCATATCAATTGAGACACTGCAAGAAATGTATGAGTAGGTTAGCGTAAATGTAAGATTCAATAGGAATTTTTATCAAATGCTAACGCTCAATTTTTTGTCAAACTTAAGAATATTTTAGCACAGTGTTGCCATATCGTTCGAATTTTTTGCTGGAGTACAGAGAGAGAGAGGGAGAGGAAGAGAGACAGTCCTTAACTTCTTTGAGTTACTACTGATCTAAATCACGTTTTACAACTCTATCAATATTTTCTCACAGTGTATTTTCTCCTCAATTCTTTGCTTGCTATTGTTATTGCTCAGCACTCGGTACATTTTTTGACTCTTCTAGCGATTATGTATATTCAGTTCAATTGCCTTGCTCCACGGCTACCTTAAAATCGCGCTGTCGACAGCCTCTGCCTCTAGACCAGCCCATCCCAATGCTTCCTCTTCCCAATAGTGAGGAAGAGAGAGGGATGGAGAAATGCGATGATTACGCATTTTCTGATTAAAATTTGGCGCAAAGTCATGTGGTTCATCTGCTGCTTCTTCTTCTTCTTCTTCTTCGTCAGGTGAAAATATGAAATGAGTCGCGAGCTGCGACTTATGTTTAGGCGGAATACACACCGAAATTGAACTAATTAAAATGACAAAAACTAAGCCGAGATGATTAACTGGAAACTGCAAATGGCCGCGGCTGGTTCACATGTCCATCAAAATTTAGTGTCTTCCAATGAGTTTGCATGAAAGTGTTGATTCACTATTTTTCACTACGATCATTTGTGATTTATTTTTGAATACCCTTTAGGTATAATGAATAAAACTTGTAATTATAAGCTAAAAAGTTAAAGTAATATGTTGAAATAACTCATGAGTATCACAAATATTTCCATAAGATTATAATTTAGCACATCAATAAAAACAATTTGAAATATCTAATCAGTAAATAGGGCATATTCTAGTCTATCAATCGCCTCGCGGTGTACTTCTAATCTGCAGATAGGGTATATTTTAGTCAAACAGTTCTGCCCTCAGCCATTTCATGTTTACTTTTACAGAGCCCAAAATTCGCTTAAGCTGCAAACAAGCTTAAAAACTTGGAAGTTTTTGAATTTTGTAATTGCCTTGCTAGAGTCGCTAAGAATATCCAATACTATGACAAGTCAAAAAACAAAAAAAAAAAACAATAAAAATCTAATTAAATTTTTTGTTTGACTAATTGCAGACGCTGAAGAAGTTTTGAATTCATAAAAGGGCAAACCCCTAAGACCTTAAGACCGGGTAAAACGTGTTGGTATCTATGTATATGTTGTCCATGCTGCTGCTGTCACAGTTAGCTGTAAACATTGATTATGCCATTGTTGCTAGCAAACTACTATCAACAGCAACAGCAGCAGCAACTTCGCCAGCAACAGCAGCAATATCGACAACAGACAGTTGCTAGGGCTGCCAGCATTAACGGCATGTTACTAGAATACAAAAACGCTTGCAACACAAATCAAAGCAGCAGCAGCAGCAGCGGCAGCAGCGATCACAATAGCAGCGGCAGCAGCAGCAGCATTCGACAGCTGGCCAAAGCGGAAGCACTAACAATGTCAACGCCAACAACAACAACCAAATACAAATTGAACAGCGATGCAAGCGATGGCATTGCAGCAGCCACGCTGCTCTACCATCACCATCATCATCATCATCATCAGCAGCAGCAGCAGCAGCAGCAACAGCAGCAACAGCATCAACATCATCAGCAGCAATTGCTGCTGCAGCAGCAGCTGTTGCAGCAACATGTTGCCAACAGCACACCGCTGCAACATCTGAGCAATCTGTTTGGCCAGCATTTGCCTACGCACAGTCTGCAGCATTTGATAACCGCTGAGTATTGGCAGCAGCGTTGCCCCACAGCAGCCACCACAACAACGGCAATTAAAAGCGAACCAACAACTCAATCGCCAACACCAACACCAACTGTGACAGCAACAGCAACTGGCAATGCAGATGCTGCATCGGTGTTCGACTTCACGCGGCAGCAACACGTCAATTTTGCCGCCTCATTAGTCGCATTACAACAAAATGATGCTGCGCCCGAGGCGACAGCAACAGCAACAGCGCACACAACGGCTGCAGCAGCAGCAGCAGCAACATCGCTGCCTGCATCGGCAGCAACATCACCGGCGCCAGCAACAAGCGAAGCAAATGACGAAGATGTCGGCGACGACAACAACATGCAAAATGCAGGCGGTAAGTTTTGAAGTTGATTTCCAACATGCAGACATACATAAATATATGTATATATGTATGTATTTACATATAAATTTATTTAATGATATCTGCATGCCACCAGGCTCGTTTGATATGCTTAAAAAAAAACTATAATAAAATTTATTAATTAACAACAAATTCAACAAAAATTTTAAAATTTGTATAATGTTTTAAATGAAAAAAAAAAAATAAAAAATAAAACTATTAAATAAATTAAATTAAAGGCATGAACATAAAGTCGCAACCAAAATATTAAATTCATTTAAAATCAGAATATAATCTGAAATTTTTTTAATCTTATTTTTCATATGCAAGTAAAAGTTTCTAATTTAGTAAAGAAAAAAAAAAAAGAAAATAATTTTAGAAAAAAAAAAATACATGCATTTAATTTTCCAAAGTGGACAAATTTTTCATTACATTCATTCATTACATCAATTTTAAAACTTATTAATTTTCAACTTTTATTTTATTTTTGTATTTTTTATAATATAATTTATGATTTTTTATCATAAAAATGCATTTTGCGAAACTTAAAATTATCATGGAAATGGAATGAATGTGACAAAATTATATAATCTTGAAGACTCCTAAAATTATTGGGATTCTAGATATGCAATTTGTAGAGGCATTTAGATGATTTATTCTATATATAATTACATGTATAGACATATGTAAGTTCTCTTAAATAATAGTCTGTCAGCCAGTCACTGCCCTTGCTTATATCTCTGCTCTTTTTTGGCGGCTTATTGTGCGCTCATTTCCATTTCCTGTCTGGTCACGCTCCTGTTTCGAGCAGCGAACACTGAGCAACGGCCAGAGAACGACGTGTGTGTCTTTTGATTTATAATGCGCCCTTTAAGGTTCATTCATAAATGAAATTGGGAATGGGAAAGAGAGAGAGAGAGACATACACAGAGAGATCCCTCTCTCGCCTTAACTGTGTCGTGTCATCTGCGCCTTTAACTCATTTTCATACTTATCATTAGGTTCATCAGCGAGCAGGTTACTACTGCTGCTGCTGTTGCTCCTCCTGTTGTTGTTGTTATTGTTGCCGTTGCTGTTGCTGTTGCTGTTGCACTTCCGTCTACTCCTCCCCCATCATCGTCTGCCTGGCTGACTGAATGAAACATCATTATTATCATTTCATGATTTGAGTGTTGATCGCCAACGCTTCCAATCGTCTGCTCGACTTCTGTTTCCTCATCTTCCATTCACTCACAGCGTTTGCCCCTGAATTTCTTCATGAAAATTATTAGCCGATGTCTGCACGCAATATTTTCATCTTTTATTTCTATATTTCTGTTGGTTTAGGCCAAGCTCACAAAGCAAAGAGAGCAGCTCCATGCTGACATGGCATGGCATGGCATGCATAATGCCCATGTTTTGAATATTTGGCTCTGCCTTTGATAAATGACTTGATTGTTGACGGACAACACACACACACACACACAAACACACACACACATACACACACCTAAATTTACATAGCACAACATGCCGCGAGGTGTTTCGGAAACGAGCTCAGGAAATGATATCATTTAAATAAATATCGCATGTATAACGATATATAGATACACATATATTTAGATATAGAGCGATAAAATTCGTATCGCTATGTAAATTTAATTGTAGCCCAAAGGCTAAAAACTATTTGCAATGCTCGCTGACTTTTGTGAGCATCTATTAAAACTCATTCAGTAATTAAGTTAGTTGGGGCAATTTCTAGAAAAAGATTTCTTATTTTATAATAATTTAATTTGGATTTGGCATCGGCATTTAGTTACATTTAATTATTTTATTTTATTCATTTTATAAATATTTATATATGTATCAAATTAAATTCAAGGTTTTCTCAACT